ACCTTTAAAGACATCTGACACCGTGTGTAGGAACTTCTCATGATTCAGTGTATGTGTATATAGCGATATGTTCTGAATCCGCATGGCACAAAAGGGCACAATTTACAAAGAGTCCACATTGTCAGACTCCTGACGAGGCCAGCCCTCCTCAGCTCCTCACAATCCGGCTAACTTTAAAGCAAAAGCCAATTTTCCCTCTCAAAGTCCTAGCAGCACGAAGAGGAACCAAGGGGCCCCAAGGGCCTGCCAGGAATCCTGACTCTGCCCTGTGACAGCAAGATGACACGTTATTTACCTCAGCTTACTTCCCTGAAAACACCCATTTCTCTGAGATGGCAGGAGGACTAAATGAGGTGAGTGTCAGTCATCACACTGTCTCTCCAACCACCACCATCAGGGGCTCAACTGGGAGTCTACAAGCTCTGTGGGCCATTGGCCCACAGGATCCGTAAGCATCCGCCCAGTGCATGGAAGACACCTAGTGACAAAACCTAAAATCACCTCAGTCATGGAGGTTCTCCCAGCTTCAACGACTAGCCAGCACAGGCTTGAAGGGCAGAAGGAGAAAGAGAGTCACCCACCAAGCCAAAGTCTGCATATACCTTGAATGCCCCTCTCCTCATGCCTTCAGGTTCTCCCTCCATTCTCTCTCTCCTTCCTTCAGCCTCTCCCTCATCCCTCCATTCTCTCCCTTATACCTTCAGTCTTTTCCTCACCCCATATTCTCTCTCATCCCTCCAGTTTCTCTCTCACCCCTCCAGTCTCTCCCTCATCCCTGCAGTCTCTCTCACTCCTCCATTCTTCCCTCATCACTTCACTCTCTCATGCCTCCAGTCTCCCCCTCACCCCTTCATTCTCCCCATCCCTTCAGTCTTTCCCTCATCCCTCCACTCTCTTCCCCATCCCTTTAGTCTTACCCTCGTCCCTCCATTCTGTCTTTTCCCTCCAGTCTCTCTCATCCCTCTAGTCTCTTCCTCCTGTCTTCAGTCACCCCCTTCATTCTTCCCTTCACGCCTTCATTCTCTCTCATGCTTTATGTCTCTCCTTTGTCCCTCACGTCTTCAGTCTCCGTCTTATTCCTTCAGCCTCCCCTCTGTCCCTTCAATCTCTCCCTCATCCCTCCAGTTTCTCCCTCAGCCCTTCAGTCTCCCCCTTGTCCCTCCAGTCTCTCCCTCATCCCTCCATTCTTTCCCTCATCCCTTCAGTCTGCCCCATTCCTTCAGTCTCCCCTTCATAGCTCCAGTCTCTCCCTCATCCCTTCACTCTCTTCCTTGTCCTTTCAGCCTCTCCCTCATTCCTTCAATCTTGCCCTCATCCTTTCAGTCTCTCCCTCATCCCTTCATTCTCTCCATCCCTTCAGTCTTTCCCTCATCCCTCCAGTCTCTCCCTCATCCCTTCAGTCCTTCATACCTTCAGGCCCTTCAATTACCAAGTGTACTTGGTTCCCCTGGAAGTCTCTGGACCTCTCCCTCCACGTGTCCAGCTCCAAAACTGCAGCCCCCCTTTGATGCCAAGGCACCATCTTATCTGATGTGGCATGGGCCTCCTCACCTTATATTTTCCCCTCAAAACTCACAATGGGCTCCTCATTTGCTAGAGATTCCATTTCACATGATACAACACAGATTTGAGAGCTTCCCCTAAACACCACCCACTCTCTGCTTACCTATGCACAGGTCTTTAGACATCTACCAACCCAACTGGCCATGCACCTTCAGGTCTAACCTACACTGGGCTTTTCCCTCTCCTGGGACTCCCTTCTCTCCCTGTCCTGCCCCAACTCCTGATTGTCCTTTGGGCAGAACCAGCTGCCCCATTCTCTGGGCTCTCTTGGCTTCTGTCCATCTCTCCGGGGGCTTCTACCCCTCTACATTGTTTTTATCTATTTACATGTAGGGCTCCCCAGCAGACTGTGAGCCCCCCCGAGTCCAGGCACTACCAAGGCAGAAGGCAAACAGACACTTCCTGAGTTTTAATGGTCATTAATATTTGGTTATTAAACTTATCCAGTTAGCCTGCCTTCTTTGGGGAGATGTTCATAAAGACTCTGGCCTCTACAAGTGCACACCTGGGCACAGCTGCCCCACTGCAGAGTTATGCCCACTCTTCTCTCAGGACTGTGTCCAAATGTCACTGAACTCAGCACAGTCCGTGCAAGTTTGCAAAGACTTCCTAGATGAAAGATATGTTCGCTGGGGCCTCCTCTGGCAAGAACACCTTTCTCCTTCTTGGAAAAGGATGTTCATCTCTTTGTGAGTCAGGTGAGCCTTATGTTTCATTCCGATGAAAAGGCTCTGTAGCAAGTTGGTAAAACCATAAAGCATGGGGCATTTTAAGCTGCTTTTCTCAACTCCCTTTATTCATTCATAAAAAATCTCAATAAAAGCAACCATGCTCAGTCTTCCTAAGTATATGTGGATCTAATGTATGATACTGCTGGGCTCAGCAAATACATTTTCATGTGTGACAGCACTCAGAGCTAGAAAGTTTCCTGAAAAGAACAAACCACTAGCCTTGGGCAGAGAGGGTTAACATAAACCAGTTCAAGTGTTTGTAGTTTATTTCTTTCTACACTGGGGGTACTATCCAGTGCTGAGGGCTTTAGCTGTGAAAACAAAAACGATTTTTAAAATCCAAGATCCACGACATCCCATTTCCTCAATACTCATGATAGTAGATGCTACACTGGATGTTTAAAGCATATTACCTCACTTAGTCTTCACTGCTGCCTCATGAGGGCGGTACTGTTTTAGCCCATTTTACAGATGAGGAAACTGAGGCTCAGGGATGTCACCTGACTAGTGAGAGATGGAGCTGGGGATGAGACCCAGCCTGGCCCACTTCAAAGTCTGGCTTCTTCTTCTAAGGATGGTTTCGGGGAAGCAGCGGTATCTCCTGCCATAAAGGAAAAGTTCTCTGCCTGCAGCTCAAGGTTTTCTGAATTCCGAAATGTCTCCCACAGGTGTTTAGATCCCATGGTTTCCTGAGACAAGGAGCAAGCATGTCCCCAACTCCCACCCCACCTCAGCTGTGTACCAGCTCTGCAAACTCGGCCAGATGCTGGTGGGACTGGGGGCATCTTTGTCCGCCAGTCGCTGCCCAGAGCAGCTCAGCTCCAAGTAATCGTATCTAATTACACTTAACTATGTCATTACCCTCTCCGCCATGTGCGACAAGACACAGCGAATACTGCCGCTGCAGCCCACCGCCTCCTCGCCTTGTTCGTGAAATAATTACGGGGCCCTCTCCTCTGCCAAATGAGGCTGTAATTAACCCTAATTGCTCGAAATGCAACTAGCTAATTCTGGGAGATTAATCAAGGGGGATTCAATTGTTAGTGAATGACTTAATATGACAAATTGCTACATTACCCGAGGAGGCCCTGCTGCCACCAGTGCCATGTCCTGGTGGGCTCCGGACTCACAGTGTCCTGGGGCTTCCCTTCCCAGCTTTCTGGGATCTGCCTCCCAAAATTCTATCTAGGAAATGGGCCCCCACGTGAGTACAAATAGCATAGATGCCATGGACCCTCTGCATACCAGTGTGTGTGCACATACACACCCAAGCCCACATGCACACAGACACACATGCATTGTCCACTAGCTCATATGTTGCCTCGGTGAATCTGCAGTGGCGCCCCTTCCCTTGGGCTGACAGTCCTGCAGCTGGGAGCATGGCTTTGTCAGAGAACAAGCGCAGGAGAAGGATTTCAGACTCACCTGCCTCCTTGGCCAGGCACCTTTATGCAATGCTTAACCTGTACAATTGTACATGGCAACTCTGCCCGTGAGGCCAAACATCAGCCAACTAGAAGTCATCCAACAGGCACTAGGCAGTAAGATGCTGTGACAAGTCATCCACAGCTCAGGAAGGTGGCTATCTGAGTCTCCCCCTGATTTAAGTCTCACAGTCTTGGGACAAAAAAGCCAACCCTAGACAAGAACTTTTCAACATTCCAGTGTGCTCAAAAAGATCTAGCCCCAGCCAGCCTGCCCAGACAAGCCCTCTGTCCCCTCCAGGCCTTCAAGGGCTCCCTAGTCCTCAAGTTTCTTCTGCTTGGGTTCTTTTCTTTCTCTCTTGTGAGGCTGTATGCTCCCTGAGGGCAGGCCTGGATCTGTCTCACACACAGCCACACACTGGGTGGGCACACACATCTGCAGTTCATTAACTCAGCAAGCATCCAGGGGCCCCCATGGCAGGGGATGGTGCCACCGCCATAGTCCCACTCCAGAGGAATTTTGTCTAGGAAGGGACCGGTCCCCTGACTAGATGTGATCATAGCCACCACTCAGGTGCAAGTGCAAAGATATGAGACAGCCCAGAATGGGGAACGGGGTAGTAGGCACATCTCCCCAGAAGCAGCAATATTTGGACTGAGGCTTAGAAGGAGTCGAGGAGGGCATTCCAGGCTGGAGTAGCATGTGCCCAGCATGGTGTACGCAAGGCAGCTCAGAAATCCAGAGCCACCTGTGGAAGGCTGCCCAGCTCCCAAAGACATCTGCAGAGAGTGTGGGACAGGGTGTAAGGATAGCAGTGTTCTTCAAAGCTTGGCTGGTTCTAGGACAAGAGGCTGAAGGGGCCAGGACACAGTTAAGACCAAAAAAGGGAGGCAGGCACTGGCTCAGTATAAGGAAGAAATTTCTGACTCCCAATACACCCGGCCCTTTCCTGAGCCCCTCACTGTCCTCAGGGGCTCCACACTGATTCCTCTGAGATAAATCTGTGCCATTCACAGGAAAACTCCCATGGCAGGATGAGTGTACCAGGTCTCAGCCAAGTCTGGCACAGAGGAGACTTCTCTGAGCATTGTTGAATTAAATGAAGAGCTCAGTAGATTAGGTAGTGAGCTTCCCATTACCGGAAGCATTCTCTTCTGAAGATGATCTTTTTGGGGTGTTGAGGGGCATCTTCTAGTGGGAGGAGCTCTGACGAAGGAGCCTCAGGGACCTGTATTGCTTGGAGACCCCTCAGTGTATTGCAGACAAAGGAAAAAGGCTTACCTGTGGGTCAGAAGGGTGCACAGGCCCCGGGGTATGGCAGAGGTTGTTCGGGCTCCCTCCATGGGGCATGTGGCTGGATTGTCCTGCCATCCTGCATGCCAGCCTCACAGGGGCACGTGCTGCAACAGAAAATGGGGGCCCGTTCACTCTCTCCTTGAGATGGTTTTGGAAGGAGGAGGTGCTGTCATGCACCCCATTTTATAGGCATGTGAGCAGAGGCACAGAGTTCAGTAACTTGCCCACGGCCACCCAGCTCAGAAGTAGCAGGGCTAGGACCTGACACCTGACATGACACGTTCCCTCCATTATGCTTTCCTGACTAGAAAAGGAAAGGGGGAGAAACTGAGGCGCCCAACAGGGAAACTCTATTGGAAGTTCCTGGGCCAGGAAAGAAGGTGCCACTTTCAGCCTCATGTGTGCCAGAGGCCTAAGGCCAAAGCCTTGTGTTTTCCACAGTACTGCCTGCCTCTTGGGGAACAGATCTGTACCCCATTCTCCATCATCGCCCACCATAATACCCAGATTGGGCACCCAGGTGATCGGGAGAGAGAGACCCAAGTCAGGCTGCTGGCAGCTGCTGCAGGAAGGACCCCACACTCCTGTCCTTGCTGGGCCTTGGGGCACCATACGTGTGACATGGGGATGGCCAGGGCTGCCGGGGACTGGGGTCCTGCTCACTGTCCCGCACAGACCTTTGGGCAGGAGCAGAGCCCTCTGCACAAAGGAGCAGTCCTCAACTCCTGGGGCTTGGGCTGCCCCAGGAGAGTCAAGAATGCTGGTCACAGGTAGCCAAGGCAACCAAAGCAGCTGTCCCTGATAAAGCACCCTCAATGTGCCCAGTCCTGAGCTAAAGGCCATCTGAGTATCTCCCCCAGCATTGCTTTTGCTCCTGGTGTCAGAGACAGCCTCTGGCCTCCCCCATCAGACAAGCGCCCCTGGGATAGGGTGTGGCCCGAGGGGAGAGCCAGCTCCTAACCACCCTGGTCCTTCCTGATGCAAGGGGAAAGCTCTCCTCCTTGGGAGGAAGACTTTCACTTCACTCACCCGCAAGCATTTCTGCAGCGACTCCCAGGTACCAGGGCCAGCCCTGTTCTCCCACGGGGCACACACAGGAGCTGACATCAAGCCAGAGGGTGTGGTCCCCTGAACCTAGCTGCTACTTCTTCTACCAGACCCAACCTGGACACCCCCAGGGCACCTCTTGTGTGACCACACCCTAGACAGAACCCTTGAGGACTGGCCCAGGCTACTAGAAAAGATTCACTGCACCCCTGGAGAGCCAGAAGTTCCTGGGAATGGATGCGCTCCCCCACCCCACAGTGGCTCTTGCTCAACATCTGAGGAGTGAGCATGAAAGCTGGCTGGCCCTCTGCCTCAGGTCGGGGCACGCTGAGGTGTCTCTCACACTCCAGAGTCCCCGGTGAGGCCAGTGGATTCTGAGATGACACCCTCAGCTTATCTTTCTCCATTCCCAGATCTGCCTCCCCACTCCCTCAGAGATGCCCCAGGGACACTGCCTCAATAAACACCTGGCCCATGCATCCTCCCCTCATGGGGCTTCTGTAAGACCCAACCTAAGACATCATGACTGCCTAAACAGACCCCACCTCTTGCTGTCTTTCACCTGGGCATCTGGCCCCAGCCATCCCCACCAGCCAAATCCCAAATGGAGGGTCCTGCTGCGTGCCCCTCCCAGGCAGACCCATGCCCCCATTAACACCGGGGGGTTCTGGGCAGCAGGAAAGGAATCTATGCCCACTGGGGCTATCACAGCCAGTGCCCTGGAGATTTGGCCACAGTGTCTCAGACTGCAAATCACTTCCTCCCAATTAGTGGTTATAGACCAGACTTCCCAGGCTCCAGGGATGTCTAGGATGACCTCTGGCATGTCAAAGATTGCCCACTAACCCCTAAATCTGAGCCTGACCTCCCCAGCTGAGCCCCCGAAGGCACCCTGAGCCTCCCTGCCTCCCTAGAACTTGTTTGCTGGCTCCCAGCACCCTTTTTCCCTTGAGTCCTCAGGGCAGCCCCTGCTCTCCTCCCCACCCCATCCTCCCACTGGCTGTGGGGTAAAACTGCTCTCTGGCACACAAAGGAGACGGCAGAAATTTAGGCCACAGGGGAGTAGAGGTAGAGATTGGGAAGTATGCAACTCGGTAGCAGGGCCTTCGCTGCTGAGAGTCCTGCCCAGCATGGCCCATGCAGGCTCCTACCCATGGAGTGCCAAACTCAACCACCTTCCCCACAGACCCACCTGATGTGGCTCATCCTAGGGCACAGGTAAACAGGCAGCTGGCTCTGCTCCGTGCACACAGAGCACTGTCTTGAATCAGTGTCGTGTGGAGGGCCACCACTGGAGCGTCCACCCTCCCCCTCTCCATGTCTCGCCCTGCCCTGTCCCTAGCCACCCCGCTGGGTCTCCCAGTGCCTGGTGCCCTCCTTGCCAAGCCCTGAAATGCAGATGGGACAGGGCACCCTCGCTGTCTCTACCACCTGCACGGGAGCACACACCCCCCAGGGTGACACAGTGGAGGGTCCTGTACGAAAAGCCGCAGGATAAACAGATAAACACGGAGCACCATCCTCAGGCATCTCTGTTTCTCCAGCAGAATATGAGAGGGAGCAGAATGTAAAATGCGCATGAATTTGAAGATAAAACCGGAGACTCCTGCAGGCTCTGCAGCTGCTTCAGGCTGCACCCCCAGACCCCTCAGGGTGACATGTACACCGTCCTATTCCCTTAGGGAGACCTCCAGGGTAAGGTTGGAGAACTGCCTTCAGCGAGAAGATTCCATCTCTATCTCAGAAGGCACCAGGCTCAGCCCACAGGCCACCCCGTGTGGCCCACATATGCCCTGGCTCACCTCCCACCTGCACACCTGCCCCGGTTTCCCACAGACTAGAAACTAAGGCAGCGTCCATCTCTGGATGCCCCTTCCCCTCGCCCCACCTCAAGCGAGCTCCAGACCCAAGGGATTGGGGGCCTGCAGCCTGGGATCGAGTCCTGACCCTGCTCATCACAAGCTGGGCAATCCCATTGGGCAGGAGCCCAGCAGGTGTTTGGGAATGTTATTCTGCCTCTTCCCAAGTGGCAACAGCAATGCCCACCAACAGCTGCGGCCAGAGGCAGCAGGCTACATGCCCTCAAGAGCTCCCACAGGGCTCCAGGAGAGGTACAGGGGGCTCAGGCCATAGCAGAAGGAACAGAATAATAATGACAAGAATAGCTAACAGCTGCCGTGCCTGAGGACGTAGGGGCTCGCCCACGGCATTGCATCTCTATCAGCCCATCTCATTTTATCAACAAGCCCCTGAGAGAAGGTATGGTTCCATTTTACAGATAAGGAAATTGAGGCCCAAGGAAGTTAAGAGATTTGTCCAGGTCTCATGGATCACAGGGAGTGGAGCTAGGACTCCAACCTATAAGGACATCTGTCCAAAACTGCTAACAGGTTCTTACACAGCCACATGTAACCTTTCTTTCCAGCAGGCACCACACAGAACCAGTCCTTTCTCCACTCAAAAACAGGAACTGTGCTGATGCATAGGGGTGATCTCAGGCCCAGCAAGAGGTACCACCAGGCGGGAGCCCCCAGAGACTCAGCCCTCCTGACAGTGCCAAGCTGACACAGCATCCTTGTCTACCGACCTTTGCTGCCAACCACTTAGGGCTTTGGTAAATGACTGTCACTGGGAGCTGCTCTATCCAGAACCTAATGGAACCTGCTTCACCATGCTTCTGGAGCAGGAGGGGCTCTCTTGTTCTGGGAAAGCGGCAGCCAAGGAGTACTCCGCAAGTCCTTGCCCACCAAATGCCAGAGAAGGCCACCACAAAGGGGAAGGAAGCAGGGAGGAAGGGAAGCAAGCAGTGATGGGTGCAGGAGGGTGGAGGAGAGGAGAGGAGGAAGGGAATGAAGGTTCTCTGAGTGCTTTCTGTGCGCCAGTCTTTCCCATTCATCCTCAGGGCTTTTGGTAGACCCATTTTACAGATGGGGAAACTGAGGATCAGAGAGGGAAGGTTCAATGCCTTTCAGTTAATAAGCTGCATGGGGGGACTCAAACCCAGACCTCATGACTCCATAGCTTCCCTTTGTCCTAAGGAATCTGCTGCCTGTTGGGGCTCTCCAGGGGTGTTGGATTTCAGGGAATCTGTATTCTGATTGCCCACTCCCTGAAAGAAACCCAGGCCCCTGACTCTGGAAATTCCTGCCAGGAACTGCTTCCCAGGAGGGTCAGTGCACACAAAGGGGATCTGAAGGGACGACACGTAGGGAGCAGGAACAGGACCTCAGCACATGTGTGCGGGCACCTCCGGGTAGCGCAGGAGCAGCCTGTCCTGGGATCCCCAGCTCCTGCCAAGCTGCAGAACAATGAGGCAGTAGCTGCCAAGCCCTAGTCAGGGGCCAAGAATCCATGGAATGCAAGACCCAGAGCCGCAGGCCACATTGAACACCACCTCAAAGAGGGCCTTTCTTTGGGCCCTGCATTTCCAAGGCGGTGTGGATGCACTGCATGGCTTCCCAGCCTGGGTCCTGGCTTTGGTGACAACAATAAGCTGCCACGTAGTGTGTGTCACCCAGGCACCCAGGGACTGGGCCAGGAGGAGCCTGGGGTGGAGTGAGGCTGCTGGGAGCTGGACTGCCTGAGTTCAGATCATGGCCCCGTTTCATACCACCACACAGTATATCAGTTTCCTCATCTGGAAAATGGGGGTTAGTAAGATCTTCCTCTTAGGGTCACTAGGGATTGACTGAGGTAACAGGCACCAACCCCTTAGAGGACAGTCTGGCACACGGGAAGGGCCTCTGAGGCTTTGGCTGTTGGCATCACTTGGGCTAACCCTCTCTGTGCAAGTGATGCCAACAGCCAACGGGCTGTTGCACGGGAAGGGCTGGGTCACATAGCTGGCAGTAACGGAGCTGGGCTGCCATGGACCACTGCTCTATGTCCTGCAGCACGTGGTCACTTCGAGACTGCTTTGGAGCAAACATTGCCGTCATGTGTGTGAGCTGCAGCTACCTTTGCAAGGCCCTGACGTGCTCCTCCCTGCCCTGGCCTTGGACAGGGCTCTTACTAAGGGGGCATGATCCCAGAGAGACATAGGGGCTTGGGTTTAGTC